CAAAGATGGACCCTAGACCCATATCTCTTAAGAAGCATTAAACTAAAATTGAAATGGATCAAATATTTAAATATTAAAACAGCAACACTTAATCTGCTGGAAGGGAGGATAAATAAACATTATGGCTTGTGTCTAGATGTCCCCGCAAAGCCTCATGAAGTCATAGGGGAAGCTTTTCAGAGTTAGCTGGACCTAGAGTGGCTTGTGCTGGGATCAAGGGCGTATGATTACTAAATCAGTCCATTGATTTTTTTGGCATAGTTGTAGCTAGGAGTAAGGGTGTGAATGCTGCACTTGCTCTAGGTTAAATAGCCTGCATAAAATATAAGGGACAGAAAGAAAGCTAATGTCCTCTAGCCTACCTGCTTGCCATGGACTATTTCCCTTCTGTGATGCCCTTTTGCCATGCCATCCTGCCTTGGAACCAGCTGACTATGCATTGAAACTTCTACAAACTGTGAGCCAAATAAACCTTTCCTCCTTTAAATTTAGGTGTCAAGCATTTTGTCTCAGCAATGTGAAAAGTAACTAAGACAATCAAACTCTTGAAGATATAGGTATAAGGAAAGACTTTATGAAGAAAACCCCAGTTGCACTGAAAATATCACAAAGAATAAACACAAAGGATAACATAACATTAAAATGCTCTTGGATAGCAAAAGGGACCACAGAGTGGGAAAAATATTTTGCCAGTTGCCTCTTAGACAAAGGAGTACTATATGAAATATGTAATAAACTCAAAAAAATTGGCTGCCACAAATTTACAGACCCAGTCCAAGTATGGGCATCTGAAATGAATAGACTCTTCTCAGATGAAGAAGTACAAACAAATAAATTGATGGAAAAATGTTCAACATCACTGGTCATTTGAGAAATGCAAATTAAAACAACACTGAGATTCTATCTCCAGAAAAATGGCTACCATCAAGAAATCAACCCGTAATAAATGCTGGTGAGGCTGTGGGGAAAAAGGAACCCTTCTCCCTTGGTGGAAGGGTTAATTGGTGCAACCACTATGGAAATCATTATGGCGATTTCTCAAGAAACTAAAACTAAAGGTTCCACTTGATTTAGCTATTCCCGTTCTAGGTATTTTCTCAAAAGGGTTAAAATCACCATATCATAGTGATATACATACACATGTTTATTGTAGCATGATTTATAATAGCTAAGTCATGGAAACAGCCCATATTTCCATCAACAGATGAATGGATAAAGAAAACATGTCATTTATATATAATAAAATACTACTCTGTTATAAAGAAGGATATTTTTAGGATTTTTTTGAGATTTTTTAGGTAAATGGATGCATGTCAAGACCATAATCTTAAGAGAAATAAATCAGAAACACAAGTGTAAATGTCACATTTTTTCCCTTGTGTGAGAAACCTAAAGTGTAAATAAGAAGTAAAATGGAGGATAGATATTAGGAAGTAGGAGGAACTTGTTCATATAAGAAAAGGAGCAAGAGAAGGGGGATGGAGAAGAGATGAAAGGGAAAATTGATTTTTAAAAAAGAGAATGAAAGGAATAAAATGGAAACAGAATGTTTGTAAATGGAGAGGAGAGGGATAGAGGGGAGGGGGTTGGGAATGGGAAAAAAGAACTAAGATATATTATGTGCATGTTCAAATTCTCCATGATGAATATGAACATTATGTATGGCAAATGCACTGATAAGAAATACAGATGAAAAAGAAATACATGCAGTAATGTCCCTAGAAGCATGACTATCATTCCATTCCATTCTTTATTTAATTATTGTATTTTTATTACTATCAACCCTAAATGTTTTTAAGGTTTCATTGTGTGCCTTTACAAACTCAAATTACTAGAAGTGAATTATACTGAGTTGTTGTTGAGTAAAATTAAATATATATGCTCAGGAAACTGTTGGGCAGTGTTTTGGTTACCTTTCTCATTGGTGAGACAAAATACTAAACATCCAAAGTTAAAGGAGCAAAGATTTATTGTATAGCTCATAGTTTTTAGAGGTTTCAGTTCAGTTGGCTGCTTCCAAGGCAGACAGAGAGGTAAGGCAGAGGGCCATCACAGAGGAGAAACAGTTGATGGCAGACAGAAAGCAGCAAAAGCAGCAAATAGCAAGCTACAAGCAGCAAGCGACAAGCAACTATCTTTCTGTCCCACATGTTCTAGCCTGTCTACCTGCCCTTAAGGTGGGTAGCACTCACAACCAGGGAGGGACACCCTTAATCCTAGCTTCTGTGAACCAGTCACAGCATCCCATCTTAAATCTTTGCATCATAAATTCTAAATCCAGCCACCTTCAAAAAGCCCCATCTGTAACCACATGAGGCTTTGAGGGACCATCTGGATAAAAGTCATAACAGGAAGTAATATCTCATTTTTTAAACTATAAGAACTAGTTGTATATGAGCTGTGATAAAACATATGGTGCATTCTTAAATCAGAAGAAATTGATTGCAGTAAAAGAAACATTGCCATTAAGGCTTCTTATAATACTCTTCACTTACAATACACTTATCCCACCTTCTTGCCATTTTCTGGAGCAGTTGTGAAGGTTCTCTCTTGTGAGTGTCTTCAGTTGCATTGTTCTGGGTGTTTCGATGTCCTTAATTGATTGAAATGTTTACCTTTAATGGTGATTTTTACTTTGGGGAAGAGAAAGAAGTTGTTAGATGCCAGATCTGGTGGATACAGTGGATGAGGACACACCACAATGTTTTTACAATCCTGGCTTTCCATTGGAATGCACTTGGCCCCAGAGTCCAATGTATTTTTGATGAAAGCTTGTAAAGACAATCACCAAGAGAACTTCCAGAACAGCTTCAAACAGTGACAAGAAAGATGGAATAAGTACAGCTGAAGTGAGGAGGAGTGACTTGAGGTGAATTGATGGAAATATGTCTTTTACTATGATAATTTTTTATTTAAGCATATACTGCATCTTTTGATCACTCCTTTGGAAATTATCTTTGAATCCCTTATAAAGGAATGGTGACTACTAATAGTAAAGGTTTATACCAATGGATACAGTTGAGATCATTTCACGTAAAAACTATTAGAAATCACTCTGTGTCCCCATGTATGATTGTTGATTGACATGAGTAATGTTTTTATAATTTCTGTTTAAAGAAAATATACTTAACATATTTATCAAATGAGTTACATTGTCATCCTAAGCCCTTTAATATATTGGCATACTGATACAAAATTGATTGTCACTATTAAATTTTGAGGTGTTAGTAATAAATGAAATCAAAGAAATTATGACTTCCTTCTATATGGTAATGAAGTAGAACTTAAGGTACAGTAAAGATATGTAGATATAATTTTATCTAAAAATGGCATACATCATCAAGGAATATAGAATATGCAGTATTATACAAGCTATTACAATTGAAGAAACCTTATAATGTTGAAATAACTGGACTTGGTTTCCATTTTTCTTTCTTTCACATAATTTTTCCTTTGCTTTCTTCCCTTTCCCCTTCCCCTCCCTCTACCCCTCCACCTTTGGACCTTTTCCTATTTCAAATTATCAATTATTCATTTTAATCATTTTCATCCTTATTTACACTTTCAGTTTCTCACACTAGAGATGCTATTCGATATTTACACGTGTGTCCTATTTATTTCACATAAGATTATGGCTTCAATATGCATCCATTTAGTTATAAATGACTCTAGTTTCTCGTTCTTTATGGCTGAGTAGTACTCCATTTTATAAAAAAACCACATTGTCTTTATCCAGTTTCCAGTTGTTGGGCACTTGGATAAATGTAAATGTCTTCTATAACTAAAATGTACCAATTAATATACAAATAAAAAAAAAGAAATAACTGGCTCTGTCCATTCTAACCATTCTCAAAAATAAAACAAACTATATACATTTCCTTCTCTACATTTTTCTCCACCCATGTATACACATATGTAAAGTGTCATTTGTATTTGTGTGAGTGTGTGTGTGTTTGTGTGTGTGTTATTCTGGGGTAGGTGGTTGCTTTCAGGTGTTTCCTTAGCAGAAATTTTGTTAGTAACATAAAACTATGAAGCTCTCTGAATGTTGCAGAGAATTAATTGGTAATTGCACTATTTTTGATGTTTTCTCTCTGTCTTTCTTCTCATTAGTCTCAATTTCTTTTTTTCATTTTATTAGTGTATGGGTGCAAAATGTAGCAGTGATGTTCCTTTGGGGGAATCGGTATATGCATGTAATGTATCTTGATCATTTTCAATTCTTTTATCACACACTCCTTTATACCTTGATCCCCTCTCCATCTCCAGTCTAAATTTCTTTTGCTTTGAATAAATGTGAGAACATGTGCCTTTTCTTCCTCATACTCATAGTTAATTTCTGTTATTTCTTTAAGTACGCTAACACTGCAATGATAAAAAACTATTAACTAGTAAAATAAATACATTTTCAAAGAATTGCAAACAATTTCCCTTGGTTACTTCAAGGCAAAATTCATGGAAAGTTTCACATTTATAAGAACAATAAAACTTGAAAACTTAAAGGTATGATATCATGGAGGACCAGGGAAATAGTATTATCACTTGATTCATTTATAATTTTGTTTTCTAAGTAGATGCACTTTTGGTGTCTGCTTTAGCTAGGTCACAAATTGAAAGTATGCATCATGTTGTATGTAGTTTTAGAAATAGAACACAACCTACTTTAAAATGATTTTATAAGTAATACACTAGGTAAAATGTCTTGTGCAATGTTGGGAACATAGGCAGTGATTAATAAATTGTGAGAATGATCATTTCTGTAGGTATCATTATGGCTATCATCTTATAATCCTTGAATATATACAAAAGGGTATTCATGTAGTCATTATCTACAAGCGGTAAGAATCTAGGCATTAAATTTATTAATTCAGTTTATAATAGAAAAACATAGACTATACATCTGTGACTTTTTATACATTACAGATATGATGAGTCATAATTTGGAGGTCAAAATGTTCCAACAGGAGGCACATGCAGAGTTTTTTGATTACATGAAATAGCTAACAAATATTCCTTGAATTCACATGATGACTTACTAGTTTCTTTATGGAATTCCTAATATCTTTGTTTCTTAGTGTATAAATAGCTGGGTTCAGAACAGGTGTGATAACTGTGTAAAATACAGCAAGAAACTTGTCCACCCATGTGATACTGACTGGCCACAGATAGATGAAAATGCAAGGTCCAAAGAACAGCACCACCACTATGATGTGGGAGGTACAGGTAGATAGTGCTTTGGATGCACCGTCTTTAGAGTGAAGGCGGACAGTTAATAGAATGTAAGTATAGGAGACCAGCAGGAGAATGAAACAAGTTGTTGCCAAAACACCACTGTCTGCATTTATAATGGACCCCAAAGTTTCAGTATCCATGCAGGCTAATTTCAGCACCAAAGGAATATCACAGAAAAAGCTGTCCACTACTCTGGGTCCACAAAAGGGCAGCTCCAGAATCAGAAGCAGCTGACTGATGGCATGCACAAA